AATTGTTTTCTCCCCCATAGGAAAGCATGGAGCTGTCAGATTTTGACAGGTCCATTGGTTCCTATGGGCCGAAAAAAAAAATTAACCATAAATTAACGAAAAGTCAGATCAAAGCCAAATCAGGTTTGCACATGACTTAGGGGGTCCTCTAACGAATCCAAGCATTTAGAACCGTTTTTCACCCTTCTAAGACACTTTTTTAATTGAAAAAAGAAACATCGTTAAGTGAAGCAGGGGACCTAAAATCGCATTCGTTATGTGAAGCATGGTCCCAAACTTCGCTAAGCGAAAATCACCCATAGGAAACATCGTTATACGGTGCATATTATTTTCTTTAAAAAACACATCGTTATGCGAATTCATCGCTAAACGAGGCAATTGTTAAGCGAGGCACCACTGTACTACAAAAGCAAATCATCACTATAATGTAGACATCTGACTTTTCCCCCATGAAATGCAACTGAATTAGTTACTGACTTCAAGCAGAACCAAACCAAGATAGAAAATATAAATACAGTGGTGCCTAACTAGACGAATGCCTCGCAGGACAAAAAACTTGCAAGACGAATGGTTTTGGCAATGGGGTTGATGACTCGCAAGACAAATGTTCCTATGGCTGTGCTTCGCAAGACAAATGTTTTCCGTTTTATGTTCCTGCCTCATGTTTGCTGATTTTTAAATGTTTTTCTATGATGTTCAAAAAGCTAACTGTTTTGATTGACATTTTTAAAATCATCTGCACAATATATATTAAAGAGCACTTAATAAACCCTTTGTCCTGACTTCTGTTGCCCACAGGAACACATTAATTAGATTTCAATGCATTCCTATGGGAAAACGCAGTTCACAAGATGAATTTTTTGCAAGACAACATTAACCACGGAACGAATTAAATTCATGTTGTGAGGCACCACTGTAGTTTGACTTCCAGTGTAGAACAAAAAAAGTTGAAATCATGTTACACACATAATGGATACATAACACAATTAATGGATAAGCACGTTATAATCCGGGTGAGAATGCATTCTGATAAAACTGCAGCAAGGTGTTCTCATGGAATTTCACCCATATGTGCATCTTCCAGACATTACTGAACTGCAATTCACTTCACCCCCAGCTAGGTTAGTGAAGATTATAGTGAATTAGAAATCTAACATATGGATCCAAACAGTCTCCAGCCCTGAACTTTTGTAAGGATGAATTATCTTTAAAAAAAGTAACAAGGACTGCATGATAAAATTTGCCACTTTCGGTCATAGCAAAACATCACCTCTTGAAATGAAACTCAAGAATACAAGAGAAGGTCATCCTACAGTAGTCACTATAGGAAAGATATGAGAAGAAATAAACATGGAAAGATAAGTTGGCATGTTTCATTTAGGAATAAGGGTATTCCCATCACTTGAAAGGGCACAGAATCACATCGTTATTTGTTCTAATCCAAACCCTTCTGAGATCACAAACATAACACAGGTTTGATACCCTGACCATTGGTTCAGTTGTCCCCCTGTTATTCAACATCTACATGAAACTCCTAGGGGGTTCAGTGCTATCAGTATGCTGATGACACACAACTGTCTCTCTGCTTCCCATCTGATTCCAAGGAAGCCGCTCAGTACCTGGACCAATGTCTGTTGTCAGTAATGGACTGAGTAAGAACAAACTGATATTTAATCCAAACAAAACATAGGTGCTCCTGGTCAGTCATAAGACAAATGCGGGGGGGGGGGGCGATAGGGATATGGCCTGTACTGGACAGGGTTACACTCTCCCTAAAAAGCCAATTTGAAACTTGAATGTGTTCCTGGATTCAACCATGCACAGATCTCAGCAATGGCCAGGAGTACCTTTTGACAGCTGAAGCTAGTGTGCCAGCTGCAGCTGTTCCTTGAGATGCTTGTTCTGAATGCTTATGAAATTCAGATATTTTTAAAAGGTTTTAAAAATATTTTTGTTTTTAATCTTGGATTTAATCTTGATTGTTTTTTTTTAAAAAAAATACAGTCTTGCATAGCGTTTTAAACCTATCACTGTCGTATACTATTAACTGTAATGGGCTGCCTTTGGTGCCCTATGGAAAGAAACATGGCATATAAATAACTAATTCAGTAACAATCTTTGAATGGAAGCAAATAGAGGCAAATTGGAATAAAGTGCAATTAAATTGACTCAAATTTCAATTTAAATAGCTTATATATGAAAACAGACAACCACAAAGCTGGTTGTACTTGTATCAGTGGCAATGTGCCATTAGATAAATCTTAACAAGGAATCTATAAACTATTATTAAATATTGTTACCAAAAGGGTGATTCTGAGCAACAAAGATTGTTCTGTATCT